TTAATTTATTATTGTTATTTCCCACACTTTTTTGTAATCTCACACGCACTATTCACACAAAGAAGTTCTAGCCTTCTCCACGTCGAAAACTCGCCAGCGGTTTGTTTATGTTAATACTAATTAATGCATGTTATTATATTACCTAAGCTTGGTCAAACAGACTAACGTTTGTCTTTCTTAGATAAACCACGCGCCCTAGTATACGCAAAACGTGTATACATGCTATTACGAACAACTATTATTAATAAGCAATTTTTTTGTAAACGACATTCTTATATGAACTTATTATAAATGCTCAACATTCAACATAAGCCGGTACGTGCTAAAGCATGTTATTTGCATATGTCGTTATTCCCAGATCAAAATAACATTAACCATATTTTTATATTTACAGATAACGAATACCATGCCTTTTAAAGTTGCATCGCTTAATAATTAACGCAAATGGACTAAGATTATTTCGTATACGACCACTTTTCCCTTTAATTAGATCTGTATAACGTCCTTTCGTTCGACTAAAGAATATATAATTTCGTTTTTAGATGGCAAATTTCTCAAGCTGCTCGAAGCTTTATTTGTCATCATATGCGTCAGCGAATTTTCGTGTTGACTACAAGAACAAGTGCGTTTGACTATCGTGAATTAACGTGCTTCATAGTCATCATCATTTTTGACGGCATTTTACTATTTAGTGTTTAGCTAAACATTCCTTCGCACTGTCGCAGAACAGATCGGTGACAATTTATGCTCTTAATAATTATAGGAAATAAAGGAAATGGCTCATCACCCATTTTCTCGGTGCAGAAAATATAACGTCTTTGAATAGTGCCTCTTTGATCCATTAATTATACGCCTCATATACAAGGCTTGCGCTAAATACTGTTAGTGAACTTCTATTTTACCGGAATTATTATATTGATGTGCTCCAACACGCTGATTTGCTTTTGTGACGCTAAATTTAAATCGTTATTATTTCGTTTACCGTTTATTATAACAAAAACTTGATTCAATTAAAAGTCTTGGTGCAAATTAGAAGCATACTCAAAACATACGTGACCATGGACCAAACATTGTTAAAATATGCATTTATTAATACACAACTTAGCAATTGGACGGTATAATTCAGCGAATCTTGAGGGGTGTAACTATTACATTATACATCCCAAACGAAAGTCGAATCAACACAACACTGAATTTTCAATGATGCAGATTCGAAGGTAAGATAGCACTCTTGGCCGTTGATCACATAGCATGAACGTTGACAAGTGCTTTTCTATGATTGGATTTTTTCGTCAGGAAAAGAAGTAATGAGCCCATTTCCCCTGTATTGCACAAATAGATGCATGCCTCTATTTTTGGATACATATAATAAATATTCGCTTCTAGATTATATAATCTTACACTTTTCTAGACTCGCAACTGTTCTAACCGCCCCACGAGTCACCATAACAGCCTTTCTAAATATTATGCTAATGACGTTGGGTAACATCCATATAATTACGCTTTTGTTTATGCATTTACTCTAACCCCAGATAGTTACTTAATATCGGCTAATAATAATAAATAATAACAATGACATCTATTTATTCATTCTATATGTAACCAAATAAAGTCGCAAATCTATAAAAATAAAATGGGGGCGGTGATGATGCCCCGATCCTCTTTGTGGCCTTGCGATTTGTGCACTACATGTGAATTCGACCTGATTGTAGAAGTAAAAGTTTTTCCACAGCATGCATGCATCCCGGGAATATTATCATGTACCAGACATAAAGAAAATATCTGCTTGCATACAATTAATCTGGATAATCAAGGGATTCCAATTGACATTGAATGATAAATAAAGCTTGATTGTCACGATAGTGATGTTCGATTACGGCAAGACAATGATCTAACAATAATATTTATTATTTGCACTCTAACAAAAATAGTTAGTCATAACACAGTCACACTATTACTATGAGGATTTCTTCTCGTACAAATTTCCTACCAGCCAATCTTCTGTCAAAATACGCATTCGTGTTCTATATCATTAACTGCATTTAGATACCATCGTCAATAGAAACATTTAAAAGATAGGTTAAGTGTTCTCTCTAGTTCTCGTCACTAGTATAACTAGCTCCTTGATAAATTCTAAACTTTATCGTAATCTCAAGGTTTAAACCCAATTCGTAAGTATCAGAAAGCCTGAATACTTGCTATTTTCCAATAACGCATATGCTTGTTTTTCAATAATATATTAAAATAATCTCGTTTAGATATACCATGTCATTGTTCACACGGTAATCAACTATGCAGACTTGTTGCTCAACAACGCACATTATTCTCTGAAGAAATTTCTGTAATTATAGTAATGTACACTGCACTGTACACGAGGTAAAACCGCTCGACATGTCCGTGAGATTATGTGGCACTAAGATGTTAATCTTAAAGTTCGTATTCAACTGACACAATATAATATTAAGCTTTAGTGTCACAATATTACAAATTATGTCAGGTCAGGTTAAATTAAAAATTGATACCGCGTTGGAAACAAAAATCGTACAAGTCACTAATACAAATACAATTTTTAATTGTGTGTGCTCGTGTTAGTATGACTGGAATTAAAGTTAATAACGTTATTGGAGGATTAAACTTGTATGCTAATAACGAAACTCGACTTAATGAGAAGAGACTGACTGATAGAACATAATGGTTAGTTAAAGTAGTTGCTGTTGTCAGACGATCCGATCACAGACGACTTTAGTTATTTAGGATGTACAATAATTCTAACCCAATCCAGACCGGCCGAAATTTAATTTTAAATTGGAAAACATACACCAAGCTATATACAGTAAGTTTAATCGCTCGTAATTAGACTCCAAGTCGGGCACAAATTATTAAGTGTAGAAGGACGCAATGGCTGGCTTGGATATATGTCCGGAAATACCATACATCATATTCAAATTTGACTTTTCAAATTGTCGTTTGTATAAATCTATGCCTTACTCTCAATAACTATTATGTAATTATTTACAGTTGCGGGCAACACAACAATTAATGCGTGCAACGTTCGGAAATCGCGCATCCGCCGTTCCTGCAATCGGTCATATTGCACGCTATTCTGCTCCATGCTAATAATATTTGAGAAAGACAATTACATAAGCCCTGTAATTTGATATAAACAATGAGCAAACGTTTTACTGCATGTAACATATCACAAACATTGATCAACTTTAATTTCAGCCCAAACGGTCTCTAAAACAATTTTGACACGGAATTTAAAATTCATATTTTCACGCTTTTTAATTAATTTGCATAATTGTTTTTGTGTGTCAAATCTATCTTCCAGTCGTTAATCAAATCTAAAAAAAAATATTATTATTTTGACAATAATCCGGATGGTATCAATAAGTATCATTATGTCTTTACGCAACAGTTTATACTTATGTGAATGAATACGATGGCGCAGAAAGCAAAGTGTGTGGAAAGTGTCTAAATATAAACTTTTTACTTTATGGCCAAAATTATGCATGTGTTAGTATTAGTATATCTAGAGGTAAAATATTTAATATGTGAAACTTGCTGAAAACGTTCATAAATAATCAGTGCAATATTATATTATCTATTAATTGAAAAGAAACACATTTTTTTATAATAAAATATCTTTACGGATAACTGCTAGAGCTGTTTTAGACAGCTAGTACATGCAAAGCTATCTACAGACAAGACTAAACTGGACCAATAAAGAAATGTGGCTAAAAGTTAGAGGTATAAAAATAAACGCATCAGAGTGATTGCATTTATGAGTATAATCTACACGTATTCTTTGGTTACTCTGGTGCAAATTTTAAGTACTATTATCATTTTATTATTGCTATTATTAATAATGGAATAATTATCATATATTCTTTATTTTATGTTCGTAACCTTCGTCGTTTATATTCTCCTTTTCATCAATCCGACGTTGAATTGCCTCAATGGTTTTTTTCCACAAAGTTGTTCTCCGTGTAGTAAAAATTTCATATTGTGGAAGCAGCACGACCTTTCCTTTAACTTATGGATTTCAAACACCATTTTGTTAAATGAAAAATTTGATCCAATTTAATTCTTCTGCCGTATAAGAATAATCGGTTTAAATCGTTCCATAACCTTTCGATTTCTGGCAAGTAAATTTTGTTCGCTGATGACAGTTTTTTATGGATTCAACTTTATCGATTGAATTAGAGCTCCCGTATTATTAAGCTGACCATTACAGATTATGCCATTTATCAAACGAAGCCAATTAATACTCCGAGAAAGAATTCACTTGTGAATGTAAAGATTCTTTGCAAAGAGTTTATTGATGGATATTGTTAAATCTGGGTTTTTTATCTTTTTAAACAATATTTGTTGAGTTGTGGGTGTTTTCTGAAAATAAGCGACTTAAATCTTTATTCATGATGCACAAATTGTGCATCAATTATACGTAATACGTGATTAAGCCACTGATCAGTGTTAGTATATTACAGTACTAGATTACATCGCGCAGCCAAGAGTTGAATGAGGCGAAGGAACAGCTCAGGAAGGCAGAGACTGCGGTGACAGAATTTAAGGAAAGATATGGGCAGAGGTTGACGGACTTGGAGGATAAGTTGTGGGGAAGTGAGGAAACTGCGGCGGAACAAATAAATAGATGTTATTATTGTTATTATTATTATTATCATTATTAGCCGATAAAAGCATAAACAAAAGCGTAATTATATGGATGTTATCTAACGTCTTTAGCATAATATTTAGAAAGGCTACCATCAAAACTGTACGGTGACTCGTGGAGTGGTTTAGAACAGTTGCACGAAAGAAGCGAGTCTAGAAAAGTGTAAGATTATATGGAGCGTGCTGTAACAAAACCAGACAAAGTGAACATTTGAAGGCACCCAATACCAGGCTGATAATAATATTTTTGTTATTAAGTTTTTAATAATCAAATATCCAATAATTACAATAAACAAGCTGAAAGCATAACCCACTGCTCTTTGCTTTCATATTTTGCTACTATCTTCTCCGTCCAACTTAATATTTTGGCGGGCGTGCTTTTCTTTATATTCCTGAGCAGCTTTGGCAAAGTCCTCAACCACTATATCACTCACATTTGTTTCAACATGGTAAACATTTTCTCCTTGTATATCTTCATTAGTCTTGTATGCTGGTGGCACATAAACTCTGTTAGGAAATGCCTTTTTTGTTTGCTCAATAACTGCTTTATTATCATCAATAAGAATATTAAAGTCAAAATATTTTGTTTTGGTAACTTCTTTACGTATAGGTCTTCCATTCTCCATCATGGTCATTTCTAGTTGACAATTATAAATTAGAGAATTCTCAGGGAATTTTTTTAAAATTTTTCATTTTTCTTGGATCCCCTTTATGAGTCAATTTCACAGCCACATCATATACATAATCAAAGCTCTCATATATTAATACGGAATGTTTACTTTGTCTGGTTTTGATCACAAGGACAAAAGTTTACAATACAAAATCCGTTTTTACGCCCTCTTTTATGTTCTCCTTTACGTTTCTTATTCCAGGTTTCAGGGGTGGGCTACCATATACCAGTAGACTTTGTCTTGAACTCATGTACATCGTTCGAATTTTCATATCCTTTGAATCCTTCACTCAAACAAGCACCTTGGCACTCTAATGTTAGTCATATTCTGACATGACATTAATTAAACCATAATAATCTCATTTATGCCGATAGTAAATTGTTCACTGTGTGGTTATGTCCCATTGTCCCATTTAAAGCGCGTATTCAAACTTACCCGTTTAGTATTAGGACGATAATCTCGGTCCAATCATTATGCTGCAGAGAAATACGCCAATGGGCAGTAATTTCTGGTGTTCTTGCTGAATTATTACTATATCGAAAAGACCATGTAAATGCAATGTATCAGTTTGCCATATGTTATGAAAAATGGAATCAGAACAGACGGAAAAAGATAATAAAAAGACGGCCGAGTCAAACCAGAAAAAAAGGGAAAAACAGTCCGATTCTCCCGATCTGTCTCCGGATGAAGACTACATTCCGTATGTACCCATCAAACGGCGACGCGAAAAGAAACTACAGAGACTCGTTAGTCAACGCGACAATAGACAGGAACAGAAGCAAAGCGAAAACGAAGAGGAAGCGGAAGATGACTACGTCGCTGGTCCCAAAGCCCACGTCAGTTTGATAGATCAAGCAGTTGAAGTGAAGAAACAGAAGGCTATAGAAGGTGCCTGCGGCTAGAAAAACAAATCGGTCTTTTCACGAACGTTACATCTGCATATTACCATTTTTTACATGGATTAACGAATGTAATTAAATCGTGCGATATTAGACTCTGCTAAAACTGATGCACAGAAAAAACTCGAAGAAGAGAAGGCTATAATGGAAGCAGTGGCACAAAGAAAATTATTAGCTTCTGATCGGGAACTTGCTAAGGGCATAATCTACACTGAGCCGATGAAGACAACGTGCGTGCAAACTTTTCTAGCAAATCAATGTTCCAATTCGGCGATTAACTTACATCCATTATATTACAACAGATGGAAGCCGCCTCGGTACATTTTAGAGAAATCAGAGAAAGATCATGATAATGTTCGACAAAAGTATCATATATACGTAGATGGTGAAGATATACCGCCTCCAATTAAAGACTTTAAAGTAAGTATTGGATTGGTGCTTCTTTCTGAAACGTCAATATCTTTCAGATATGCATCTACATAATATATACTTGTCTATCCAAGAGCATGAAATTCCCACGTGCCATATTGAATTTTTTGAAATCGAAAGGGATTAGCAAACCAACTCCGATCCAACTTCAAGGTCTTCCAGTAGCGTAAGGCATTGTTTCGTTAAGTCATGTACAAATGGTATGTCATTCAGAAGGACAGTTAATCATTATGCTTTTTCTGGTTTGATAGTTTGGCGGGAAGAGACATGATCGGAATTGCATTTACAGGATCGGGGAAGACATTGGCGTTCTCGTTACCACTTGTTATGCGTGCGCTAGAAGAGGAGAAGAAACTGCCTCTGGTTAGAGGCGAGGGACCAATAGGCATGATTGTGTGTCCATCGGTGTGTTGTTGTTGTTGTTGTTGTTCTCGTTGTTGTTTCTGTTGTTGAAAAGAAATGTTTTGTTTCATTGTAATACTAATGTGACTATTGGTTTAATCAATTCAGCGTGAATTAGCTCGTCAAACGTATGATAGTATCTGCTCGATGATAGAACATCTTATTCTTGATGGGTATCCCAAATTACGAACACTGCTCTGTATTGGCGGAATATCGATGGCTGATCAATGGCACACGTTGGCTGACGGTATTCATATTGTCGTTGCTACGCCTGGAAGATTAATGGACATGTTAGAGAAGAAAAAGTTTAATCTTGATTTATGCAAGTACGTCTATTTATGGAGTCCCGATTAATCGATGCCGCAAATGCTTGGGTTCAACGTATTTTATTGACTATATTTTATAACGGTTACGAAGGTATTTGTGTTTGGATGAAGCAGATCGTATGATAGACATGGGCTTTGAAGACGATGTGCGCAATATCATGTCTTATTTCACTGTAAGTCTAAATGTCAAAACTTTTTATAGTTGCTTTTTCTATACCCGCTAGTCTTGCATATTTTCTGACGCCAAATATATTTACTTTGTTAGTCTCAACGTCAGACAGTGCTTTACTCAGCAACAATGCCTAAGAAAATTCAAAATTTTGCCCAATCAGCTTTGGTTAAGCCGGTAATTATAAATGTCGGGCGTGCTGGAGCTGCCAATTTGGATGTAATACAAGAAGTAGAATACGTGAAGCAAGAAGCAAAAGTAGTGTATTTGTTAGAGTGCCTGCAAAAGACACCTCCACCAGTAAGTTTCATTCAGAAGTCAGATCAATATTACATCAATTGGTTTATGTCACGTGACAATACTGAACGTGTTAATAAATACAAAGGTTTTGATATTTGCCGAGAATAAGAATGATGTGGACGATATACATGAGTATCTCTTACTCAAAGGTGTTGAAGCAGTAGCGATTCATGGTGGAAAAAGTGAGTAGTAATCAACGGGGAGTAGAAGTCACAATTGAATGTGATAATTTTTGCACTTCGTAATGTGAATTAATAGCATCAGTATTCTATCATAAACAACCCGGTTCAAAGTCAAAATATTCATGTATGTATAAGGGGTGTCTATTTACCATTTATTAATATATTAACAAATAGCCCAAGAAGAACGCGAATTTGCGATAAGAGCATTTAAAGAATACAAAAAGGATGTCCTTGTCGCTTCAGATGTTGCTTCGAAGGGTCTTGATTTCGCCGACATTCAGCACGTTATAAACTATGACATGCCAAAAGAGATTGAGAATTATGGTAAGTGTATGATTATGTTTTAATAATTTGTAGATGCTTTATGCTCAATCGTTACATACTCAATGTTATTATAGTTCATAGAATAGGTCGTACTGGTCGTTCTGGAAGGACCGGAGTGGCAACGACGTTTATCAACATGAACTGTTCGGAGCAAATTCTTTTGGATCTTAAACATCTTCTTAAGGAAGCAAAGCAACGTGTTCCACCGGTACTTGAAGCTTTGGAAGACCCATTAGAGAAATTTAAAGATCTTACTGGAGGTACATACTTCATATTAATAACTGATATCCGCAGTTTTAATACTTGCATGTTTTTGATACGCTTGTCGATTGGTTTCTAATACTGCTGTAATCTTTACAGGATGTACATTCTGTGGTGGATTGGGTCACCGTATCACAGCGTGTCCCAAATTAGATGCTCAACGAAAGCAACAGCTTGGGAATCTCAGTCGCAGTGGTGGAGGAATTGGAGGAGATTATTGATGCGTTTGATTGAATGACTGTCTGTCTTATTTAAGAAACAATAACAGTTGAGATGTAAAAAGATAAAATATTGAGAACGAAATAAACCTAGTGTCAAAAATGTAAACGGACTTTTTCTGTCAACAGAGATTAATGGGACACCATCGGCATTTAGTCTTTATGTTGGTTTATTAAAATTTACCGCGAAGGTACACATTGTGAACTATTTAACGTTCGAGCCGACGGAAAGACTCGACCCACTTTGGAACAATTAACAACTCTAATGCAACATATTTTAGTTAACGTGATATTTATTAGCGATCGGTATCAGTAATGACAAATAAGAGTAGTCTACTCGATTTGCGTCAAAATTAATATTAATGTTTTGGTTACATTATTAAATTTAGTACGATTATTATTGTTATGTAAACGTCCACAGACATCTTGACTATCCTTTAAAAATTGGAAGTCTTCATTTTTGAAGTATGCCTGTATGCTGTCCTCTACATAAAGTATGTTTGAGAACAGTTTATGATTGGGTTGAGCACCTGAACCCAAATCATTCTTAACCGTCATTCGTCGATGTCGATTGAGTAGTTGTGCTGCAGCGTGGCGACTGGCGTAGTTGATGTCGAAGTGAATTGAAGGTAGGAACATTGTGCGAGCAAAATAAAGTACATTCGCACGTCCGTGCGTTCCGCCATCCACTTGGCAGAAGCCGTTGTGCTGCGGCGTGGCGACTGGCGTAGTTGATGTCGAAGTGAAGGTAGGAACATTGTGCGAGCAAAATAAAGTACAATCGCACGTCCGTGCGTTCCGCCATCCACTTGGCAGAAGCCGTTCTGGTCACTTCTCCGAAGCATGGCCTTTCCCCGTCTGGAAAACTTGCCGCATGATTTCTGCGATATATAAAAAATCCCTTTAACGGTTTGCAGCCTTTCTCTTAATGGCGTATTATGTTCCGAGTTGATTTTTGCTTCATAAAACGCATACTCTCTCTCATAGTCTAGAGATTTCAGCACCACAATGTCTCTTCTCTTCCTCTTTAAATACCTCAGCAAGGTCCATTGTTCAGCCGGGACCTTGTTGAAATATGCTTCGACTGCCGGTGGCGCGACATGTGATGCAGACATAGACTGTTCAGCAGTAGAAGTGCTCATTTTCTTTACGTTAACGGTAGCTCGAAAGTTTGATATTAAGCAAGAAATGGAAAACTTGGCGACCTTTTTAAATAATTAAAAATCTTTGTCTTTGAATGAGCGAAAACATGTAAACAAAAGATGCTAAGTACAATCTTCAGGAGTATTATTGTTATTGATACACCAGGAGTTCCGTTTTTGGGGAAAGGCAGAACGTGATCACGCATTGGCAGTTTTATTGGCTGCTATACAAATTTGACCAATGGGATCGCGAGAGATCTGGTCCGCTTTAGACATGCCCCGTTTTTGATAGATTAAGATCTGCAAGCACCCCAAATTTTGTGATACATCTGCGGCAAAGTCACGTTTTCAACAAGTTCAGAGATCTTGTTATATTATAACTGACTTGATTCGGGAAAATGCATCATATTAGGCCAACTTCATCTTGTCGAAGGTCATCTTTTTATTTCTGAGGAGGTTAAGACGTTTATCAAAGAAAACATCGATCTCTTACCGCGTGAAATATATTCGCAGCTGATTAGAAATAACGCAGATCCATCGATTCGGCAAAGCACATACATTTTTGGTGGTCTCAATTTGGGCAAGAACGCTATAAACGTCATAACAATGCTTTTGAATCGGCCATTCTGTGGTTGCGGGAACATTATGACATTATACTTAATGAAATGGAACCAGTTCGTGCTCTGGCTTTCGACACTAGAATGCTGGATCAATGAATCAATTGGGAATTAATATAAATGAGTGTGGAATAGACGCTACATGTATGTCTTCTAGTATTTATTTATTTTTTTTAATATATATATCTAACTACCGTATACTTTTAAGACAATACGAACGATATGGGATTTGAATTGTATAACTTACACGCAGAGATGAACGGCACTGGCTTCCCGTTATCATATTTATTTGTCGAAAATAATGGACAGTGTAAAGGAGGAATTCGAACAGGAATATTGCAGAGATTCCTTACAATATTTCGTAATAGAGGGTTGAATCTTGCTTTTTTCTAACGGATAAAGATTTCGCCCAGATAAATGCTGCTCGATTTACATGGCCGCATAGTAAGGTTCAATTATGCAAATGGCACATCAAAAGGGCTGTCTTCCTCAGACTTTCAAGCAATAAGATTGCAACTAGATCTTCGGGATTTACCCCTCTTTCGGAATTTGAATCAGGTTTTCCTTCCGCGGAATTGAACAGGCGTCTCAATTTTGTCCTAAGGAACTGCGTCAAATAGTATGGAAAAACATTTACACCAACATCCGCTCATTCCAAACGTTGAAGGACAGTTTCTTACCCAAAATAAAATTTATGAAGCAGCAGTTGAAGAAATGTACATATTCTGCAAAGAAAATGCTTTAATTTCACTCTGGATGTATCTTGGACGGAATGGCATGATGTCTCAAAATGGCTATTGTGGGCGCGGTCTCCCTGCGAAGACAAGCTTTCTGTCTTAAAAACCACAATGTTCATCGAAGGCCACTGGGAAACTATAAAAAGAGATTTTTTATACAAATTTTTTCGCCCACGAATGGATCTTGTTGTATATATTTTAATGCGAAAAAGTGATCGTTCATCAAGAACGAAAATTACAACAGATTTATTCTGTGGTTGAAAAGCCAGAGTGGATTAAAAGCTTCAAGTCCGAGTGGAAGAAACTGTCTGATCAGCCGATAAATCATACTTATATGCGGATGTCAAAATTCATAAGTTGCTCGACGAACAAAAGGCCATTGCTGCGTCTACAATAAGAAATTTTTATCTTCAAAGAACAACTCCGCGGAAAAAGACGATCGAGGCAATTCAACGTTGGATCGACGAAGAAAAGAAGGAAACGTAAACCACTCAGGTGAAGACGATGAAATAGACGATAGTGATAATGTTATTAATAGTAACAATAATAAAAAAGATAAATTTGCACCAGAGTGACCAAAGAATAGGTTATTATTATACTCATCAATGGCTTTGGGTCGAGTATTTCCTCCCATGCAATCACTCTGGTGCATTTATTACTATTTAAAGATATTAAAATTATGCTTACAAATTGAAATGTGTTGTGCAATTTTGACTTGGTAGCAATTGTGTCAAACTGGCGAAATATGCTCGAGCAGTCTTATAGATCTTTCATTAACGAGATCACTCGATCAGTGGGGAAGCTTTTATGAAATTTATTTCCCTTACGTTTTCGTTCTTTCTTGGTTCATCATTAATCATGTGTTGGTGTTGGTGTTAATGCTCGTTTATTAGTTATGATCCTTTCTTCATGGTAAATTTCATAAGTGATTTTTTCTTGATCTAGATATTCCTTATCCTGGAGAGTTTGGGTATTATTGATTTTAAAAACGTATGGAGCAATTTTTTCTCCTTGTTTTTTTTTTAGAATGCTTCTAATAGTGCTGTAATTCTTTGGTTCCATAGTGGATTTAATGTAAATTAGTTTCATATTTATATTTTTACATATAAGGATAGTCCTATATTAATCCTGTTATGGTTTATATTCCTCGCCTTCTGGTATAATAAAGTGGGAATTGAAACTAACAAGGCAAAACGTCATCATAATCAGTCACCTGATCAATTTTACAGCCATATCATAATCAGCCCCTCATTTATGTCACATATGCAGTCTGCCCCACATTGGCATTGCATTCTTGGTATTATTAATTTACATCAAATTCACCATGGAACCAAAGAATTACAGCACTATTAGAAGCATTCCAAAAAAAGAACAAGGAGAAAAAATTGCTTCATACGTTTTTAAATCAATGATACCCAAACTCTCCAGGAATATCCATATCAAGAAAAAATTACTTATGAAATTTACCATGAAGAAAGGAAGATCATAACTAATAAACGAGCATTAAACTATTCTTTGGTCACTCTGGTGCAAATTTAAATTTCATTATCTTCTTTACTATCGCTATTATTAATAATATTATCACTGTCATCTACAGTCAAACCTCGTTATACCGAAGTTCGTTATACCGAATTTCACGTTATACCGAAGCAAGCATCTCCTCCCCACTTTTTAATATTTAAAATTCACTCGCTATACCGAATTTTAATAGAAAAGTCGCTTTATACCGTTACCGAAGTTCAGCGCAGGATTTTTGTATTGTTACTAGTCTCGCTATAACGAAGTTTTGTCCCGTGACAATAATATTAATTACAATGATTGGTTGCAGCAAGTTATCAGTCGTACAAATTTCTGTCATACGCTTACTTTGTCATACGATATATCTGTACTGTAGCATTCCTAATTCAGCTATCATTGTCAGAATTCGGTTTATTGTTTATCATACGATTTTTCGGTCGTTCATGTCTTGTTCTTTTGCATCCATTTATACAAGTGGCTCTCGATATAAGAAAGTAATCGGGACCCATAGTAAAAAATTTTAGAATCCTTATACCGAGAGTTTATTAGTAACTTTCTTATATAGAGATAATTTTATATAGACTGTTTTCAGCTCAACTTTCTTATATCAAATTTTAATTAGTGTTTCTTATATCAAGAGCTTCTTATATCGAGTTTCACTTGTAGTTGCTTCAGCGTCTATCGTAACACATTTTTACAATATTTTTATTATTAAATGTTATACCATTAAATAAAATTAATATTATATATAATTATCAAGAATTATTAACAGGATAATAATAATCCAGAACCTTTTCGGTAGATGTGCTTATTTTGCTGCATTCTGATGTAATAATAATTCAACTGCCTTATTATTGTTTCTATTCAATTTCATTTTAATAACATGTTAATATCATAAGACAAACTTGAGCAATAATCCCACATTGATCAACTACCTTCTGCTTATTTTTTTCTCTACTCTGGTTCCATACTAATATCATTTAGTAAGATTTAATTGAGCTTTGGCATGCTCTTGCTCAGCTGCTTTTTGAAACCATTCAATTGCCTTTTGTTCACCTTTTCTTACTCCATTTCCATGTTTATAACACACACCAAGATTATATTGTGCCAAGACGTTCCATCACGGAACTTTGTTCTGAATAAGACACAATATTTCTCATTGTCAACATACGATTTTATAATATCGAGGTTTTATTTGTCATAAGTTGAAATAAAAATATTTATCTGCAACATTTCGTTATACCGAATCCCTCGCTATACCGAATCATTGATGCCCCCCCCCCCCCAACCTTCGGTATAACGAGGTTTGACTGTATTTCTTTATTTTTATCAATCCATTCTTCGACAGCTTCTAGCGTTCTCTTTTTCGGATTCGTTTTTCGTTTGTAAAAATTTTTCAACGTGGAGGCTACAACGCCTTTTCATTCGCGTAATTCGCGGATTTCGGTGGCCATTTGATTAAATGAAAATTTCGGATCCAGCCTGGTTTTTTTGTCAAACAGGTTTTTAAAGTTCTTCCACAGTTTTTCGACGTCTGGTAAGTAACTTCGTTCGCCGAATTACTTGATTTATTATTGCGCCTTTTCGTAGGCTCGATTAAATTGATTATTTTATCAATTTTCTGATTCATATATTTGTAGATTTTATAAAAAAGGTAATATCCAAGGATAATAATCCGAGAATGAATTCGCTTGTGAGAGCAAACATTTTAATCTGTTGGACAGATTTTGTAAAAGCAGTTCGCGAAGCTTTTTCGTAAAATAGCTCAATTTCGGTCGTTTTTTATAGTAATAGCAAACCTTGAGCCACGACATTCGAACTAAACGTCATTAATGCGTGTGCAAATTTCTGCGCATCAATTGTCATTGGCATACAGGGGAACATTATGAAAAGGTCTAGAAAGTTCCTAATGCTAATACAGTCAAACTCCGATATAGTCAAGCCTCGATACAGTAAATTTCGCATTATAGTCAAGAATTCCTCTGATACATAAACAGTATTATTAAATTTTCCCTCGATATAGTGAAGTTATATAGTAAACCTCGTTATTAGATATAGTCAAGTTTTTCGTCAAACAATATTAGTAGATTGTCTCTCGATATAGTGAAGATTGTACCACTTGATGT